CGTCAACATAGTGTGAAAATATAGTTACATCGTAAATTCTGTACATTGTTGAGTTCTTTATATTTTCGATCTAACTTACACGAATCCAACTTGCACAGTATAGACCTACACATAGCAATTTCATAATGTTAGATGTATTTTAAAACATGGAACAGTTAGGTTACTAAATCCCTTGAGTTTATTAAGTATTGCCTCGCCAAAACGCCTAACAATTAAACTGAGAGTAGCTTTCTGCTAACGCTCTTGAACTCATTACTGGAATTGCAGGACTTAACGAGAATCTTAACCAAACTTTATTGCATCTCCCTACTTCCGGTAATAAGGTGGAATATTGCCAACTTCGCAATATAATTAATTTGGCTAAGTTGTAACAATGGACTTTTCTTCTTTATCTTGAGGTTTGTAAAAATACCTTTTTTTCTGTAGGCCTACCGTGTAACATTTCTAAACCAAAATTGATTCATGATATGAAGATAATAGCGGTTTAAATTTCTGAGGCAAACTTAGGAGAGTATATTTGTTAACATTATTTTTTAAGATGAGTAAATCTAAAGCGTATTTGTAACAAGTATCTTATTTTGGTTTAGGTGATTTTTAAATTTGATTTGTTTAACATAGTACAGTATGCTTTATTTAATAACTTGTATCCATTTTGGGTTTCAGCAGGCCTATACGAGTGGGCTATTTCCAATCTAGGACAGGAAGTCAGAGAATGTATTTTCTACAAGAATATTTAGAAGGCAAACTGCCAGAAATAATAATAAGCACGATTTTTAGATTGAGTTCATTTTTGTGAAAAGTTAACGTTATCAAAGAGATGACCAAGGACATTTTCTATCACACTCAAAATGTAGTGAAATCTTGTTTTTTCTTTTTTTTTTTTTACTGACCGTCACGCGATAAATGGCCAGGATTATCTACCATGCTTAGATAGGCAAGACTAAGTTTTTTTAAATGTCACTTGCAAACTGGAAATCATAAAAGCTATAAAATAAAATAGTCACGGTTGTTATCAAGTGAAGAAACTTTTCATTTTGATATTATTAACATAACAAAATCTAGGAATAGTAACTCAAGTCATATAAATTATTTATACCTTCTTTAAAACATTAGCCAACATCATGGCATGCAGCTCCCATTAAAATAATCGAAACACGATTGCACATCAAATAAACTACGTGTCAAAGTAAATTTACTCAGGTTGTAAACCGTACTACTCTTTGAAGCTCCCAAAGGGCACACGCCCGAAAGAGCATACGCGTAATACGGCTTATTAAGGTCATGGGTTGTGAATGTGTGTGTGATACGCACACAATGCGTAGGAAGGTATTGATCTGTGCGTGAGTGTGCGTGCGGGCGGTCCAGTCATTCCTTCTCTCTCTCTCACTTCCACCTTTCGGCATTCTACAATAGTTACACTTGACATTGTTCGCCGATTTTTGTAGGCTAATTAGTATTTTATGAAGGAATGTGACTTTTAAAAGAATATTAATTTGTCGGGGGTTGTAAGTTATTTGTTTAGTAAATTTATTAGTTTAACAAGGACGTGCTGTAAATAATCTACTTTAATCGTAAAAAACTAATAAGTTAACTTAATGTTTGTGTACGTCAACAGGAATAATCTAGAGTTTATTTAAGTATCCAGCATTTTACAGGAAAAAACTACAAAATCTGAAGCCTTGTGGACGATGCGATTATTTCTTTGAACTCGAAACCAATTTCTGGCAATTCTCACATAGGTAACTTAGTTGGTTGTTTGGCTGGTTATTTTTAGATTAGATGTATCGACGAAACCATTTTCAATTCAATGGATTGAATTAATATGGTACATCTACAAAATGGAACCTTGTTCACATAAATTGTAGCTTTTTTACTACCTATAAACCTAAACTAGGCTATATTATTAGTGGCACGTACGGTATATTTTAAACTTAGTATACTTGGAACTCTTTACATACTACCTACTAACTTAATACTGTAGAAACATTTTCAAATATCTTACAATTAGCAGATTGCATAACTTAACATGCATATTAGAAAATAGAATACTTTCACAGGCTCTAATGGCAATTGATTTCATTCAAGTCTGTCTATGACAAAATAAGGAGATGCACCATATCAAGTTCAAAACTGGCGGGACGAGTATGTCGGGATTAGGGATTACCATATGCGATGAAGACCACCTTGACCTGTATAGCTCGGCCTTGCAATGACACTGGCAGTTCAGGATTCCACAGCCTTTTACAGAAAACAGCGGGGAAATTGAATGCCATAACCTAAACGTTGTAAGTAATTGGCAATTAATCTGTACCGGTATGCATACCATGAGCCTTAACTTATCTAATTTGAGCTAACTTTTATTCAGTTTTCACACTCTCAGTCAAGTGAATAATTAAATTGAGTTTAGGTTTAATACACATGGTAGAGTTGAATCAATTGCTTTAAATATCACGTCTTAAATATTGTCAAATACTACTCTAGGGCTAGCCCTACAACAGTGTTTCGAACAACCGACTTCAGCGGTTAGTAACGTAGTCCTAGCATAAACAAAATAAACCTAACTCGAGCAAACGTACTTAAGCAAAAATTAATAAAAACGTCAGTCGATGACAACATTTTGTTTGCTAAGCCTAACTTGAGTGTAAAAATGTAATCAAAAATTCGAAATGTAGGCCTAGGCTAGGAATCAACTGAGTTTGAACTAAGTAAAGCTATTTTCGTATTTTTACACATTCATTGCTAAGGTTAGAATCTGAAAGTCACATTCGGCAAACGAAAGGCGTGACAGAGCTATTGCGCGGGCTTCTCCAACACTACTTTAACCTAATAATCTTTACTTTTAAATACTGTAGGTTGTATTTAAACTCACCTTAAACGTTGTGAAATTTAAAACTCACTACACAAAACACTGAAACACAGAAACAATCGACACTCGCAACACAAACTGGGAGAAAGAGATAACCCCAACGAACAGCAGAAACCGAAAGCAAACTCAGTTCGGCACTCACAGCTGTTGGCGAGCCTGTATGGGCGAGTCCACTTCGGGGGGAGGCAGAGCCAAGGCGCGCGCTTTTGAATGTTATATTATAAACACTGTATTCTATTTCGCTATCACCGCCAGAATTCTGACCGAGTCCCGCTTGTTCGCGTGACAGATTCCAACTCATCAAAACTTCTTTGATTATACTGGGACAGTTCATTCATGCAATTGCGTCATTGATAATATGATGATTGATATGCGATTGTATAATGATGTTTGGCTGTGCGACGAATGAGGTTATGTTGACTAAAAAAGAGGCACCCAAAACTTGCCTTTTAAAATGAGAATCAATATTTTTTACTAGTTAACAATATAAGTCGTTATAACTAATTTTTATTTTGCCTTTTTGGTGAATTTATCAAATCAATAGTTATTTTATTTATCTCCTAATTGCATTATAAAATTGCCGTATTGTTTGTAAATAAATTGATTTCGAGTCTAAAGTGTTTTTTACTGTTTACTGTGTTTTTACTCATGAAATTTTAACTTATTAACAGAATTAATTGTACTGTAATTACTGTAAAGTAAAAAAATAATTGCTGTGAAAAAATGTAGATTTGATAACACAGTTGGCAGTTGGCACCTTGCGAAAATTCTCTTCGTTCAACTTGATAGAATTAAAAAAAATGTATGCATTGACACATGAAAGGTATGTCTAGTAAAAATGATTATAATGACGGTGTAGGCCTATAGTTATTCTCCTCACTCAATAATGTATTTTTTCCGTCCCTAGTAGAGAAGAACAATAGAAAATCATTTGTCTTCATCAGGCATGATTATATCAACTCATACCAATTTTGATAATAACAAACGGTAAATTTGATGTTGATGGAAGAAAATACACTAAAGTGGGAAGTAATCCCACCTACTGTAATGAAGAGATAATGGATGCCGTAAAAGTTAATAAATAATTATTAGAGTCTCAGCTAATTAGGACGGAACAGACATAGGTTACAGAATAATTATTAATAAGTCCTTTCTAAAAACACTTTAAACTAGAAATATATCAAAGAAGTAATAAAGTCATAACAGAACAAGCATAGATTTTTGAAGAATGTTTTGACAGTGTTAAGGTCCCTTTGCAAAATGATAACAACAATAGATGTGACGTCAGTTTGATAAACCTGCTGTGATAAGAGCCCTCAGTTGATAAGAGGCAAGGCCATGAGCAAAAGTAAATTTAACCAACTATCAAGAATGGTTATCACGACTGGATGTCTATATGGATACTAGTACAACGATTGTGTAAGACTACAATTATTATATTTTACATCATCATTATCATCAATTAAGATGGGGACGCCTCCTAGGAGCCACATTGAACCCGGAGGATGTGTGTAGAATGGAGGGAGAAGATCTTTGTAGCTTTGATGTTACTGTAATGACTAAATGAGCTGTTTAGCCATGCTGGACCATATTTAAAACGCAATGATCAAGAACAGCCAGGTTTTGCGTAGCATATGTAATCTTTGGTACTACCATTGACTATATATACCTACAGGTATATATAGTCAATGATACTGCAAATGTTTGAGTGCACTATTGGCGACTTCTACGTGGTCTTTACCTATTCGCAAACTGTTGCTCGTCCTAAATTGTTACAATGGAGCAAAGCTAACACTATTATAGAATCCGCTCAACCGTTAACCACACATGAAGCAGGCCAATATTATTCATATTTTACAACTGGAAGAATTTTACATTTATTATCAAAAGTCGGTTGACATTTTTTAAACCTTGTAATAGTGCATTGAATTGGATTTAGATCTCAGATGGGAACTATCTGTACCACGTTAGCAATCAGTAATGGCATTGACTATATATATATAGTCAATGGTAATGGTATACAGAATCTTAAAACGCATCTACAAGGCTGTATCACAGACAAGGGCAACAATATTCCATTTGTCTATAGTCTTTTGTAAATTTTATTAAAGGGTTAGTATTTTGGGTTACTTACTGGCTCGCGTAGTCCGGATCATCAACATCCGGTGTAGGACTGACTTCCGGTTCCTCCTGGACGGGGATCTCGTAGATCTGGGTCTCTACCATGGAGCCCTTGGAGCTGCCGAACGACACCCTGCAACATACCGTACTATAAGCAAAGGACCTCATAATATCATATAACCATAGACAAAAAGAATTAAATATAGACCGTCAGGTGTGCTGCGGTTATTATAGGTTCTGGCGCACACCGCAGGGAGCGCCATGTAGTTACGGCATACGCGCTACGTAACTACACGGCACTCCCAGCGGTGTGCGCCAGAACCTGTGATAACCATGGTAACCACAGCACGGCTGACAGTATACATTTTTAATTCTTTTTGACTATGACATAATGCTCGCACTAATAAGAAGGTTGCTAGTTCGATCCTGATAAAAGTCCGTAGCTTTTGATGGTTCGAAGCTAGACCCAACTTGTATTCACCTTGGTTATTGGGCTCTTAATTTATAGTACTGGCTTAAAAAAACATTTTGCATCCATCTAAAAATATGTTGTGTGAAATAATCTAAATACTTATTATGACTTGTCTTTGTAATAACGTAGGTACTTTAATTTTTGACACATGCTTGAACCGAAATAGTAAGGGGTGGGACCAAAACCGTAGAAATTACTGAGGATCTGGAAAATTTGGAACAAGATCTTCAGAGGGGGTTTAGGGACTCTCCATAGTGAATTTTTGTATTTGTACAGGAATTAAAGCAACAATTTATATTTTTAAAGTTTTCCCTTTACATCCACCAAATCGACGTTAATTGAATGGATCTATTTTGTTTTGTAAATGGTAAAGTGGTATACAGTATTTTTACCCATTGGATCTGCCACATCAGTGATAAAAATTGGCCATTAGCACAATCCTAGAAATTAGGAATAACTACAATATAAACGGAAACCATTTCTCGAGTTTAACTTCGTTCCTTCGTTTCCTGCTACTGTACACACAGTACAGTATTTTTTTAGAAATTATGTTAACATTCATTCATGTATCAAAATAGCTCATAATATATTTTCTGGAGTTTTTTTGTTTCGTTGTTATTAAGGTACTCGTCCTGATTCAATTACGCTCATTTGCATAGTCTCGATCAAGCTTAGCAACCGTTAAACGGTTGCATTAGGTAATTTCAACGCACTTAATAAACATTCCATTTTTGTGCAAACTCATGATTGGTTCACACAATGGTATTCATTGGTTGTGTATTTCAATACAAGAGCTATATACTACATATCCTACCAGGACAAATTAATAATAAAGTAAAGTTAACTTGAGCTTGGTCTGTGTGTATTGCATGCCCATCTACAAATACCAGTTACCGACGTAGCTTAGCTCCTAGCGCTGCCGCGGCGGTTGGTCGAACTACAACGACATCAGAACTACACAGTACGTGTCCAACCATAAGTTATTTTACCGATCTCTTGAAACTGTTGTTTTTTTTTTAACTTAAAATATCATATATCATCTTTATGGAAAATTAGCTTTTAAAGTTAATTTATCAACAAAACATAATGTTCCCCAAAATATACTTTAAATACTTTTCTTTGAAATGGCGACTATACAAAGTAGGTATTTTAAGCCAAGTATGAATGGAGATGAGTGTATGATGAGTGGCGCGATCTTCTAGTCTTGTTAGTGACTAAGGCCGACATATTCCTTAGACACAGCTGTTAATTAATAGCCCATACAGCTAATGGAGACTAATATAAGGGACCTACAGTTTATAGTGGAATCCGAACCACTTTTTTCCTTGGTATATACGAATTGGTCTAATTATCAGGATAGTACTGCGGATAGTCGTATACATATAAGAGCACAACTGAATCAAAATATTCTTTAAAAGAAATCATATGTTTGAAGAATACAGCTAGGAAAGAGCATTAATTTGAATTATATTATGAATGAATCAAAACAATTAAGGTATATCTTATACATTTTTTTTTGTTAAATTTACTGGTTCTGTGATCTTATCGACCCGACCCGTTTGTACTTTAGAGTTCTCCTATGAAGACACAGAATGCGCGCCAGTCTCTGTAGTTATAGTTAGCATGTAATGGCAAACAGGAATCGAAAGGTATTGGTATTGCACGAAAAACTTACATTCACTGTGTTATAGTATTAAAGTATTACATTCAAACACTTTGGATGTTCAAAAATTATGAAAAGTAGCTATTTGAATTTGGCAAATGCGGTTCTAATTTATTACCAACACTGAACTTACAGGCTCATATAGGAAACGTCTAACATACGACTGATTTTTCCTTTGCAATAGATTGAGTAGAACTAATACATCTAAGTACAGAAAGAAAACAATTCCAAATCCGTTAGATACATCAAGTGTGCAAGTAGTTTGTTTACGCTGTTAAATAGGCCTACCTAGTAATAAAGATACACTGTCATGATTTAACATAAGTCATACTTCAAATGGCAAACCGTCTAGCTGTCTTAAGTCATTTAAAAACCCCTTCCCGAAACTACAGCTGTGTTCTATTTTAACCTTCAAAAATGTATCTAAAAATACAGATTTGTCGACAACTCAATTGACTAAATGGTACCACATTGTGTAAAAATTCCAACTTGTGTTCTCAGACTTCACATTAAATCAACATCAATATACTTATTGTCTATGAAATTAGACTTTACATCAGTTTAGCAGAATGCCTTCAATTACTAAATTAAACTAATTAACACCCTAAATCAAATCTAAAGATCTGAAGTTTTGTTACAATAATGTAATAGCAAGTATAAAAATAACACCATTTACATAAAAATTTTAGATACTAAGTAGAAGAAACAACGTACGTTTGTAGTCAGACGTTGAGTTGCACACACGACTGAGAGTTTACATCTTGAGTCATAGTGATCAGCTGATTCTATTTAAACAGCTGTTTTGCATTCGACCCGGTTTTACGGTTATGTCGCAATAGAAGAACTTGGGTTCTGCTTCTCTGAAGAATTACGATTTGGTCGTAAGATTTGCGGAAGAATGACTGCTAATGATATTTATTTTAGTAATATAAACTAGAAATTGCTTTTAAATAATTTTTATAAGATTTACTCTGATAAGAATAATTTATTTTAATTTTAATCTAACTCTCAAAGACAAACAGGAGCGACGTATTGTAAACAAATGTCTGGCAATAAGTAATTTGTTGCAATAATAGATGTGTTAGATAAAAACTTCCGTAAAATGATAAATTGTTATTAGTATTTACAAGCCCTAATTATAAGTTTTTAACAGTAATAATTAAGTAAGATATAATTTTAAAAATCGTGTCTACCATGTAATTTCTAACAAAATGGTAGTACTACTCTAGGAGGATTAAACAAACATAAGTCTAGTACACATTATTTTTTAAAATAATGAATAACTTTATTGTTTTGCAGATAGTGTACTGCTGGAATATTTTCACGAATAAAGTAATGGACAAAACATTATTTTAAGAAATAATAGACCAAAGGAACACTACTGTGATTAATAGTAGACTACCTCTATGGTTTTCGGATACTCACGTTATTCATATAATACTTGTCTACTATATTATTTTCAAACACATTGGGTAATCAAACTATTTTCGTAAATAAATTAAAATAGCTCTCAAATTATTATCACAACTACTAGACTACTATATCGTTTTCAAAAACCAATGAACCCCTACCCCCTTCTATGTTCTTCTTAGATAACTAACACCGTCATGATTAAGTCGTAGATTTTACAGTCCGATCACTAAACTAAGTACGCACTCTGTACGTGTACCTACTGCCAAGAAGTACCTAGGTACCAACCGGAAGGACGATAACCTCTCGCCATAGAGGAAGTTGCAGATCGCACCGTGATTTGCATGCATACACTACACAATGTATAATGTGAGACAGGTTCAGTCTTATTTGGTCATGAGCATTGATTATGTATACTCAGTAGGTGTATAACCAAAGTCATGAGGATTGTGATGTTGATAAGTTGTGAAGTTTCTAACGACAAAAGGTACAATAATTGGATTCTATAAAGAATAATTGTAAAGCCTCCCACTATTCTGTTTTGCCGGGCTAGAAATAAATTCCGCGACCGTATGAGTATTTAGTGTTATTTAGTACTAGTATTTTAATTAGTTACCATTGTTAGCATAACGATACAGAATGAAGAGGGGCCATTATTGTTCTGTGATAGTAGTTAAACCAATTTTAAGGAACCGGAGATGGTAATATTTGTGGCTATTAATGAACAAAACAGACATCCTCGACCTCGTAAAATGTTTAGGAAATTTAAGCATAAGGATGCACACCGTTGAAAAAATTTGTAACTACTGTATAGCACGTACTAATATCGACTGCTAAATGTAGGCCTATATACAAACTTTTTACTCATGACAAACCGTAAGGACGCTTTCCGAAAATAGTAATTTATGACCTGTTCTATATACCTACCTTATTAAGTTTCATAGTCTAAAATACTAAAGGAGAATATAGTATTTTGAGAGTTCCAAAATTTGAGAATGACTCATTCCACTGTAATTGAATAGTAAGAAACTAGACATCTGGCTCATGGTAATTTTAAATCATAGTGTATTCAAGTATTTAAAGTCAACCTGGGATTTTGATTGTTAATTAGCCAAATTGTGATACACAGTTTATTTCATACTTCTGGTTGTGCAATGGTCATTAATGACAATTTAAAATGTTCTATCTCTTGATATACTGAAAGTATAGATTGCATTTTTGGGTTGAATACATTGCGAGAGGCTCATTTCAATGTATTTAAATAAAACAAATATCAATATAAAATCTAGATCATGGTGTGAGTACTTCAAGTTAACAGTTATCTTTATTCATAACTAACGAAATTACATTAAACACTTTTCTGAGAAGCATACTGTTACGCAATAGTAGTTCACAATTCACAATGCAGAATGCAGTCGTGTTGCACCCTTGCTGCAGAGGGTGGTGCTGCAACCCCTATTTGACCAATCGATGATGTGACCTTCACCCACTGACCTACCTCACCCCCATACCTCCACAGCTGGTCTAGTATTGTATTTTTCATGGGCTATATAGTTAAGTGACACGTCAGGCTGCATGTAGACTATCT